CTATGTGAAATTCTTTTAGCATAAGTTTTTGCAACGTTGCTGGTATCACAATTCTTTCTGCATACATAAGTACATCATTACATAATGAAAATGCATTATTTCCAGTAATATTTTTTTTCTTTTAAATCTTAATTGCTTCTTCATTTTCATTATAAAGTCATCTTTTTCTGACTTAATTCTTATTTCCTCCAATGTTATGGGCACTTCTATTACAGTATTGTATAATGCATGATTAATTTCAATTTCGGCCCTGATCGCTGCAATTACTGTATCTTCAAGTGGTTCGTAGAATTTTGGTATTAGTCTAGACAATCCGTCTGCGTGATTTTTTGTATGATTGAAGCTATATTTTATAATTATAGTTAAATAGGATAGTTTCCCAGCGCTGCAGTCTATTCACTGTATGTGTGGGAACAGCCCTTTTTTTATTCATATATGAACAATAGTAGATGATGGTCTATCTGTAGTATAAATTCTCAATCATGTATGAACTAATGAATCTTTTTCATAGCAAATATGATTGCCAATGCTTCCTTTTCAATCTGGCAGTAGTTTTTTTTTTCAGCTGCAATCAATGATTTTGAAGCATGAGCTATTGGTTTAATTGTTCGGTCTTCATATCAGTGTAGTATCACTGTTCCGATACCGAATCACTTGCATCTGACGCATCCACAATCTTTGTTTTAGGGTCAAAATGAGCTAGTGACAAATCCGATGTTAAGACTTTCTTGTTCTCTTCGAAAGAATTTTGATATTTATCTTTCCAATCCCATTTCACGTCTTTCTTTAGCAGGTTTTTCAAGGATGCTCTTAATTCGTGCTTGTTTGATATATATATATATATATATATATATGATAGTAATTAGCAAACACTAAAAATGCTTGTAACTTTGTTAAATTTGTTGGAGCGGGCATGTCCTTTACTGTGCTCGCTCTTGAAGAATCCGGTTGTCTACCGTTTTCATCGATAATTTGACCTAGATATTTAAGTCTGGACATAAACAATTCGCGTGTGCCTTCACTAATCTTAAAATCATATTCTTTGATTCTAGCATCACTCCTTCATAGTCTATGAATTTTTCAACTCACCCTCGTGTATATATATATATATATATATATATATATATATATATATATATATATATGGTTTTTTAATAACGTGAACCGATTTTAAATGTGAATTAAGTTTAAGCGTCTGATTTTTTTCTTTGTCTTTCAGATTTAACAACTTAAGTCTTTGGCAATTTCAAGCATGGAAAGATTAAAAAATGTGCTGATTTTTCAACGGGGTGACCAAGTCCAGAATAGAAATAACGATTGTTAGTTGTCACGATATTTTCCATATATGCGTTTCCTCTATGGTCAGGTGGTCTACTTAATTCAATAATGGGATCGCCTGTGTTTACTTTCTGGCGATTTATGTTCAAACTCAAGTGTCGGTAGCGACACATTATTCCTACATAACAGTGGTGATCACAGCGGTGCAAAATGAATAAATGAATCAATCAATGAAGCTGACTTTTGAAAGAAGTCTGTTCATTCAATTGCACAAAAGCAGATATGGCGTCATCATCACTGCCAAGTGATTTTTTTTTTTGAGATTTCATAACAGATGATATATATTTGAACTTCATTTCAATCCTTCATGGGCTTCCGATTCTTAGCATGTGGTGAGCATTTCATTTTTGTTTATGATCGATTTTCTGTTAAGCTTGGAGAATAATTATGCATTCCTATTGCTCAAAGTAGAGTCCAGTAGTGCTATAAGAAACCCCAGAGAATTCCAGTAAGATATTTTTAATCATTTCTAAGTTACAATGTTTCAGACCTTAATGTAACAATTAGACAATTTTGCTATTACACGATTTGGACAATTTTGCTGTTACACCATTTGGACAATTTTGCTGTTACACCCGGTATATTTATGCGTGTGGGCTTCCTATTGTAACTTCCTCCATTTTAACCTGATGGCCTATGGCAGATGTTCCTGGTATTGTAGTAGCCAATATTCCATAATTTGTTTAGCCTTGTTACAGTTAACAGTCTAACAAAACGACGTCATGTAAGTACGTGAAATGTAGTAGAGTATCACTGGCCTTCACCATAAGGAGAATCCTCCATATTCGAAACACTTGCTAAACGTTTCCGGAGAACAAGCAGCAGATGGAAAATATTTTTTAAAAGGACACAACTTTGTCTTTTTAATTCATTAATTCCACATATTCCTGCAAAGGCACAGATGTAGTAGAAGAAAAAAACGTTGATTTTTACATGCTTATAAAAGACTAACATTTCTAGAACTAATAGGTAAGATTATCCTTTGTGTCTACAATACTGCGGGAATAAAAATTAATGGAAATCAGGTGAAAATGCATTAGGGACAAAAGAAGCATTCGAAATGAAAACAAACAGAAATAAAAAATTGTTCAGAAAGGTTTTAAGAAGGGAAAATAGAGAAACTGGAAAGAAGACAAATTAAGAAAAGAAAGGTAAACTCTATTTGTGATTGATACGTCTGAATTTTCCAAATTCATTTCATTTATTTCCTAATTAAGTTGCCGTTGGGTATCACTTAGGTGGCTTGTGCTGAGTTGATTCAAATCACCAATTAAAACACAAAGGCCACACAACGTGCAACCATGGTTACAAAACTTAATGATAACAGTTTTGGAAAAGATAAAATAGACAAAAAAGACGAAAATAAAAACCAAAAAACAACAACATACAAAAAAAAAGCATAGATATTTTTATAAATACGCTCATTTCATTTATGCTTTTTTGGGATATATATTTTTTTTTTTTTTGCCCACTTACCTGTACGGCAATCTTTATCAAAAAGCGCCTTTTTCTTCGAAACCTTTTAAATTTTACATTTTCAAATTAGCAATTACTTCATTGTTCTCTTTTGTTTGCCTCATATATATATATATATATATATATATATATATATATATATAGTATTACATAACGAAACACACATACACACACATACATATATATAGTATTACACAACAAAATGAAAAATTACCTCATATAGGGGATAGATCTATTTCAACAGAGGAAACTTCGTCAGTCTTATTCAACCCCGGTGTATATACTGAGTTCGTGTCCGAATTAGAAATTTAACTGTGACAGCCGTCGAAAAATTGATACTATTTAGTGACTCTGTTATATATATTTCTGTGGATCAGTTTTAATATTTTTTATCTCTAGGATCCACATCATTAACTTTACTATATATATATATATATATATATATATATATATATATACGTTATTTTTGTAGATATATTTTATTTAGTCAAATGCTCTGTTTTAATTAAACAGTGTTAATTACATTTACCGGCCTGAATTTTCGAGATATTTCTTAGAAAATATGCGTTCCCAACAGGGATCGAATCTGTATTCCTATACGGAAATCGTTTAATCTTACGTGCTATACCATTTAGCTACAGATAATCGTCTGATTATTAATGTCCAAATTACTAATTTTCTACATATATTTTCTATGAAATTTCTTTTGTATTTGGCAGCAATCATTCTTTTATACAATTTCTTTTATGTAATTTTTATCCTTCTTTTATACAAGTTTTAAAGACGACTCACAAGGTTCTATGATTAGGATTTTATTTAATTTTTATTGTGTTTTCTTTTTTGAACATAAAGTCCGTTAAAGCTGTCCAAATATTCTATATATCTGAGTGGTTTTGTCTATTCGATTAGTCATTATCAGGGATTTTAATAAAAATTTTAACTGGATATTTTGATTCTTATATATGTGTGTATATATATATATATATATATATATATATATATATATATATATATATATGGAATGTTAACTTATTCTCCAAACAAATTTGTCGTGTTTATAGTTGATATTATGAGTGTTGACCTTTTCTTCTTTTTTTATTTTATTAATGCTTCCATTATTTTTAGCTTTTTTTTTTTTTACATGTGGATGAAGCTACTATAGTCGTATTTTCTACGAATATGTTGCGGACGGAATTTGGTAGGTGTCTGTGTGTGTGTGTGTTTAAATCGATCCTTATTGGGAGATGACCGGATAGATGTCACGTGAATCTTCTTGATAGCTATGTAGTGGTACATGTCAAATCATAACTAATATTTATTATGATATTAAAATACAGAGCACCAGTATTGTTTCCGGTGTCTTCCGGCAGCAGTAGGCAGATTTTTTTCCCGCCATTTGTCACAACACACAAATATACATGCACAATTTTTGGTTCCAGTACGTTATTTTGCCATCCCCTCTAGTTCATTATTTACATCATTCGGACTATTGTCCTCATCTTTGTCGCCATCACAACGTTTCGGCCGTTGTACGCTCCGGACTTCTTCAGTTGGTTGGAATGTCGAACTGAACCCTTTATTTCGCTCACTGGGATAGACTGTTATAGTTCCACGTGCCATGTTTGATGGATGTCAGTTATCAGTTATCTCCTGCTAATTTTCCCTCTGAAAGTTCTCCACTACCGGGTATTGAACTCACACTCTTCCTGTCAATGGATCTAACCAACGCCTTTATCCACTGTGCCATGTGTCCTTGAGGACATCTGGTTATGATTTTCTTGGTATTACAAACCTAATGTCTTCAGCAAATATTTTTACCAGTGCTCATATTGCAATTTTGCTGTTATCATAGCATATTTTTACCAGAGCTCATATTGCAACTTTGTTGTTATCATTGCTTTTCTCTGGCACTCCTTATTACTGGTTCCCATATTGTATTTATTTCTATGCTTGGTCGGCTCAGGAGATTTTTGTGGCCTAGCATATATGCTGATTCCTTAAGTTTACGAATTTAGCGTACAACGGCCGAAACGTTGTCATAAATATGGCGACAAAGATCAGGACAATAGTCCGAATAACGTAAATAATGTACATAATACCTCATTTCAGAAATATAGAGAGAATCCCCCTAGTTTGTTTAATTAAGGTTCCAAGATTGGAATTTCCATGTTCACCCATTCCATAGAATGTCTATAGGTTTTAAGTCTAGCGATTCTGTTGGTCACTTTCCATGAAATTTGGCTCCAAAGATCAAAATTACCACAGCTTAGCAGCTGATCTACATTCTGATCTAAGTATAACTGCTCAATGTGGGAGTAAATGGTTTGTAACATTTAATACGTCCAAACCCAAACGATTAACCTTTCACTAACACCAAGAAGACACAGAGTTTTCTCCTGATATGATAAGGCGCCTTGTTTAAATATCTACTCCCCAGATATCGAGTTGAACTCATATATGTGATCTATCGCTAAAGATGTTAGAAAAAGTGTAGGCTCCTTGTATCGTTCTAGAGAGTATTTGACTACACATACCATGCTCTAGGTTCGGATCAGAGCAGAAATGGAGTATGTCCGTTCCCTGTCGAGTTCAGAAGAGATTATATGACATTGTAGGAGATTAATTACTTTCCTCCCTACACTTCATTTCCCACAGACGAAACATCGCTATTATCGGTGCACTGTAATCAGAAATTGAGGCAGGTCGTCAGCCACAATACTAAGGTAGCTTACGGAATTTAAACAATTATACATAACCCTAATGTATGCCAAGTAAATATTCCCCGTACCATAACATCACCACCACAAGCATGGTACAAGCCAGGATGCCCACACTTTCATGTTGTTTACACTAAAAATCAGAAATCAGGACAAATCCGATCAGTCTTCTAATGATCGATTTTCTGATCCTTAACGAACTGTTTACTCAGTTTCTTGTACTTATTTGCCACGAGTGGCACCCAGCATGGTTTTCTGATGCTGTAGCTCATCTGCTTCAAGGTTCAAAATGTTATGTGCTTAGAGATTCACTTTTTCTATACATCCATTGTAAAGAGTGAGTATTTGGTCAACTGTTGCTTTCTATCAGCTTGAACCAGTCTGCCAATTCCCCACCCACTGACCTCTTTCACCAACAAGAGATTTCTGCCCCCCAGACTTACCGCTCAGAGGATTTTCCCTCTTTTTCTGATTATTCTTTGTAAACCCTAGACATGATTGTGCATGAAAATTCTAATTTATCAGCAGGTTTTAAAATAATCAGATCCGCCCGGCTGCCGCCAACGACCGTTCAAAGTCATTTAAATCTCTTTTATCCAGACTAATGCATGAAATGGAATACATCGGAGTCGCCATGAACATGCTTAAATGCCGATATCCATTAAATTGTTACCACATCACTGGCTCTTTCGAAATTTACATAAAAGAATATTGGTTTTTTTTTAAAAGTAACACTTAGAACAGTTTTATGATGCTGACAGAATGAGAAAATGAAATCATCTTGCTGCCTCAGAGATATCAAGAGTTCGTGGAATCAAAATGTCACATATGTTATTCGATAATTTATGTACAAACCTGTAAATAAATCCACACCCACACCCAACACTCACACGCACAAACATACACACACACACACACACACACACATATATATATATATATATATATATATATATATATAAATTCAAACGCTCACAGCATTAATTCAAAAGAGGGATCGATACCTGGAGTAGAGCAGTACTTATTTCTTATAAAAAAATTTTCATACAGACAAAATAATTACGACAAAGATGCATTTGTGCTTCGATGCAGAGGAGCATCTCGACGGGTGAGGAACAAAGATGGTTATCCGCTTATGGACGGTCACTTTCCTTTTCTCGTTATTCAAATTGTTTTTTTGGGAAAAAAACATCTTTGTTCTTCACCCGTCGAGTTGCTCCTCTGCATCTTTGTCGTGAGTAATTATTGTTGTCCGTGGATATATATATATATATATATATATATATATATATATATATATATATACACACACAACAGAATTCCAAAAATGCTCATGTATGGTCAACTTGACAATGGTCATCGAAATGTGGGTCGGCCTTTGCTTAGGTACAGGGACAAGCTGAAGAGTAACCTCTTAGCTGCAAATATAGGTCACACTACCTTTGAGAACATCATAATTGATCGTAATGAATGGAAGATTACATGCTACAATGGCATCAAGAACAAGGCAGCATCAAACATTGTCAAGCTTCGTCAAACTAGGGAAAGGAATAAAATATCTGCTGCTGTCCCAGCCATATACTCCAATAATCCACACTCCTGTACAATCTGTGGACTTCTTTGCAAATCACTGGCGGGATTGAAGTGTCACTTGCGACTCACGCACAAGGTTAAATAAGCAGAGTTGTTGGAACCTCATACGTCGAAACTGACGGGAGAGTCCATCATATATATATATATATATATATATATATATATATATATACATGGCCGGGCAAAAGTGTCACGCACCATAGGAATAATTTATTAAAAGAATAACTACACAATTGATAGTTTGAGAAATTATTTTTTGAGCAATTGAATTCGAGCAATTTACCGGATACGGTAAAAAAAATTATTTACTCGTTATTGAATTGTTATGTGATGTTCAAAATAACTTCTTTCGTTTTCAAAACACATTTCAATACTGTGCCTGCATGATTCGTTATCACGACGGAATGTTCCCTCTGTCATTCTTTCTATAAGTTTTGAAATATTTCTCAGCCGCGTCTGATAAACAATTGATTTCAAATGGCCGCACGACCAAAATCCAAAGTTCTGGTGACCTCCCAACAGGACCTTTCAAATCAAATTAGACATTTAAGACATGATTAATGAATTAACCTCCCTATGGTTCGCGACTTTTGCTTCACCATATATATATATATATATATATATATATATATATATATATATATATATATATATATATGCCCAGGTATGCAGAAAATAGAAAAGAACACGTTGGGTGCATAATCCGGGGTTTCTTAGTATTTTTGTTTTTATTTTTAAGAAGACAGTGCTCCATACAGAAGTAGAGCTTTATTATAATAATATTTTTTCCTTCGCTACATAAGAGTTCTCATGTTTCAAAAACGAGAGCCTAAATCATCCAAATAATTATTAAAATTAAGTTGAATTGTGGTGTTTAGTCCCGTTTCATCTTCAAGCGAAATTTTAGGAATAAGCTATCTCACGGTTTACGTGTGTTTTTAGGCATGCTCCGTTACAAAATTCGTTATTGTGGGGAGTGGCTAGATTAATATATATATATATATATATATATATATATATATATATATATATATATATATATATATATATATGTGCGTGTGTGTGTGTAAGAATGTGTGTGTTTCAATAAAGAAAAGAGATTAATGTGAGTAAAACTTTGTCAATTGATGTTACCTTCAGCATCCAGACTTTCATAGGCGAATCAGTCCGTTCACTCTTCAGGAGATATCAGCAATTAACATCTTCTATATATATTTACTATGTTTTTTTTTTTTTGTTATAACGTCATTTTATTAGATATAATTTATTTAAGTAGATGCTCTATTTTTTGTTTTTTTTAAATAAACAGTATTAATTTCATTTTGAGGCCTGAATGTTAGAGAATTTTCCTCGAATATACGCGCTTCTCAGACAGGAATCGAACCTGTAAATACAATTGGAAGCCATCCTTTGATCTGTTGTGCCGTTAACCAATCAGCCATAAAGAAGCGCCTGGTTAGAAAAGTTCGAAATGCTATTTATAAACAACAAATCTTCGATGATCTTTCCCGAAAGATCATATCTACTCACGAAACGTACCTTAACATAAAGAGTGACAGCAGATTATGAAATGGATTAAGCCCGACATATATTTAATATAATTCAGGCTTTTAATTAATTCTTTAAAAAAAAAAAAAAGAAAAAAAGAAAATTTAGTCAAATAAATTGTATCTAATAAAATAACGTATGAAGAGAAAATATATTAAATAATTGTCGGAGTTAATCCAGTTCATAATATTCAGATAGAGAAAAACATTCCCTTCCTTTTGGTCGTGCGGCGTTGACTTAGGGATAAGATATTTGACTGATGTCGAATCAGTTGGGTTTCTGTCCCGGCAATCGACGTCTAGCCACACTAATTCGCTGCAATACAGCGGAATAGTCTGTCTTTGGATGACCATATTATTATTTTATATATATTTATTTAGTTATTTATATAAAACCCTATCGAAAATTTTCAGATATTTTAAACTTTTAATTTATAATAATTGTCAGCATATAAACAGTTGATGCATTTATAATTTTGAGTTATTTCAACGCTTGCTTAATTATTATTATAATTATTAATTAATTATTATCAGGAATGTGAAAAGCAGATACCAGCAACCCTTCCTTCAGTCTTGTTTGTTTCTTTTATATTTTCCTCATCTTTTCGATATAATTAGCATCTTTATATTTTCGTTTGTTTACTTGCTCAAAAGATAGCGATGTAATGAAAAGATCAAACCTTCTGAAATACCAAAATTTCGGTACTTTAAAAGCTACTACACTTGAAAAATTTGAAAATCTATGGTAAAAATATGCCAGTGTCTAAACATAGTGTTTTTTTTGTTTGTTTGTTTTTTTTTTTGTTTTTCTTTTTTCTTTTCTTTTACTTCTATTTCTCTCCATTTTTACTAAGAAATCTTTATTTCATCAAACGTTGATTATTTTTTTGGAGCGGGGGTCATTTACTCTCTTTTTTTTTTTTCTTTATTTTGTTCATTTTTTTGTCTTGTTTACGCATTTGTTTTTATTTCCTTATCCATCTTCTTTCTTTCTTTTCTTTCTTTCTTTCTTTCTTCTACCATCTCTTTCCCCCCTCTATTTCTCTCTCTCTCTTTCTTTCTTCATTTTTCTTTGTTTCTTGTAAAATTTCTTTCTTTTATCTTTTTCTCTCTCCTTTCTTTCTTTCTTTCTTTTTTCTTTCTTTCTTTCTCTCTTCTAAATCTTCTTTCTCATTTTCGGCTATCTTTTCTTTCTTACTTTCTAACAGATATTTCTCTTTCTTGCTTTATTTTATTTTATTTTCTTTCGCTTTCCATTCCTTTTTTTTTCATTCTTTATTTTCTGCTCTTCCACCAACAGGTAACCATTACTGATTCTGTTATTATTATTTCTTCGACATGTCTTTCTCTTCGTTTTTAATCTTCCTTCTATCAATGGAAATCTTTCCATTAGATGGCGTGCAATGAGAAACGTAACAACTGAACGACACCATGATAAATATTCGAAATACAGGCATTACACCCAGTGACAAATAGGAGTGTAAGAAATGAAAAGCAGTAAAAATCATCCAAGATATATACAGAACATGAAAAGGAAAGTATTGCTGATAGATAGATAGATAGATAGATAGATAGATAGATAGATAATGAACAGACTGACATAGATAGATAGATAGATAGATAGATAGATAGATAGATAGATAGATAGATAGATTAGTCGTTTCCCTGAAATTCTCTGCATTCATTGACCGAGCAGCCAGTGCCACTTCCGATTGAAATTTATAAAATCTGTCTCTTAAATTAATTTTTTCGGGAAATCTTTTTTTCAAGTCCATTAGCTATTATCACTATTTCCAGTACCGATGGGTGTTTCTTTCCTAATCCTAAACTTTTATTTGAAGTAGTGTGGAGATAGGCATATAGATAGATAGATAGATAGATATTAAGAGACTTATATATATATATATATATATATATATATATATATATATATATATGAAGGAATATAGTTTTAAGGTGTGCTGTATTTATGGGATAAAGTCCTCAATATCAGAGATAGAGCGTATGTAGATATAAATATAAAAGTAAACATAGAAGTCAACACTCAGAGGCGACAGGATGTTTCATGATAGACGCAATCGCCAGGCCGCGATTATTGGATTGTTTCTCGACTATTTATATATATAGGACCAATATATATAAATAGCTGAGAAAAAAATCCAACACTCGCGGCCTGATGATTGCGTCTAGCATGAAACAGCCTGTCGCCTCTGAACGTTGACTTTAATGTTCACCTTTATATATATATATATATATATATATATATATATAAAGAGAATAGAGGCAGAGAGGTGGGAGAAGGGAGGAAATAAAAGGAGTGTGAACGAGTGTATTAATTAGAGATTAATGAAAATGATGGAAAGGAATACAGAAAGAGATAAAGTGAAAAGAGAATATAAGGCATAGGCAAAATGAGTATACATTTTTAAGTACCATTTCCCTACACGGTGTAAGCAATCACGGCTCTCCCTATATTCTTTTTCTTTAATATCTGTGAATAGCTATGACTTCTTTAAATAAATAGGGGAATGGTTCCTGTCATCTTTCCAGCGAAATGAAAATAGTCCCTTCTAGACTGACTTCCACCAAAGGTTGGAGATCCCAGTCAACTCTGCGATTTAACCCATAACTAGGAAGAAGGCTAAAAAAAATGACACTAACGGGACAAGGAAATAATGGTCAACGGGAGACGGAATAAATTACCTAAGGTTGAAGGAGCTGGGAATTGGGGGATAGTAAAAAAATACAAAAATTTGCTAAGAGTTGCAAAGAATAGGAAGTTGTGTAGAGCTATCATCGGACACAGAACTTAAAGCAAGAAGATGGAGAAGAGATGAAGTCATGTCTATCCCTAGAAAAGAAGTTTGAAAGTGAACGCAACAGACTAAATATTAATTTGAACTCTGCTCGCTGAAGCCACTTTCTAGGCCTAAACTTATGACAGGGAAGAAGTTAGAATAAGAAATTTAAAAAAAAAAAAATCTGAAAGAAAATTACTGCGAATATCAAAGCGGAGAGGCGGAATCATATGACGACTGTATGCGCAAAAGACAGAAGGAAAAAAAAGGAGAGAACATCGTGATAGAAGTTGAAGTAGAAAATTGGAGCTAACATCAGAAGATAGAAAAGTGAGCAAACAGATGAAAGAATTGCGAGATGGGAGGAGTAATTAGATTGTCCAACGAGAAGAAAGAACGGGAAATAAAAAGGGGAGATAATCAAAGTACTAAGTTCTTTTTTTTTTTCAGCAGCTAATTTTGCCGAAACCCACATAGACAAAACGGCATGTGAACAATCGGAAGTGGCATGCACATACACACACTGTATACTTACAGAAACCTACCTAAAAACTCACAATCTTCCATTCAGATACACATAAACATACACAGAAACTATACACACAAACACGCACGCATACACTGTGGCGTAAACATACAGGTACATAGAGAGAAGTGCAACGTTTATACAGAGAAATGCATACACAGCGTCACGCACACACGATACTAACAGAGGCGTATACATGTAAACATAAAGTGACACACACTCAAAGATATCAATGTTTAAATATTAAAGATTAACAGACAAGGTTCGGTGAGAAAACTTCGCTGAATAGATTGTAAGATCAGTAGCCATATTAGAAAAGTAAACTTTTGTAACATCTTAAGAAATTTAATGCCTCCCGACATATTGTTACTTTGTAGACACCCAAGATTATGGGTATGTATGTGTGTGTGTGTATGTGTATTTTCTGACCATGAGCCCCGGTTGATTTGTCAGGAAGTAGACTTTCTGGTGTTATCGGTCTGGCAACTTTGGAAAGTACCTGAAAACCATACCACGGGGTGACCCAAGCCTTGTGAGTGAAACTGGGGAGAAGGAACCCTTGGGAGCCGTCGATAGCTGTGCTAGAACGAAGTCATAAGTCATCGTGACCGAGGTTTTGATTTTGTGGCCTTGTTCAGATTGTTGATCTATTAGATAACACGCTCTCTCCCGGAAACTGTAAGTAAGGTCTGCTCAGCATATTTGCAGTATAAACCACAGGTTGGTTCTGTGGGTGGTGAACAAACACAGATGTACCTGAGCGAGCGTCTGCAATAGGGATTGGCTAGCCGCCCTAATAGACAGGTATCCTCGAATGCCAGTATCCATCTATTATTATGTGTATATCTATACGGTCGTCTCTAGAAAGAATGAAAGCTCTACTTCATTTTATATGTACCTGTGTGTTTGCGTTTCTGTGTATTGAAGACATCTTACGATGGAAACCTTGTATTTTGTTGGCTTGATTTTGTTGGTGTGTCCATGAGCGCCTGGACAGATGGAAAGTCGCGAAGGCAGGACAAAGTAATGACTGTGCAAAAGATTATTACTAATATGCCTACCTACTCGGATTATACAGTTTAGATTCGGCTCTAGTCTGTATGCTGGTATTTACCTGGTCCCTACCGTGGAAGGATATAACACAAGGTCGGTAAAATGTTGCGTGCTTACACATGGGCCAAGAATAAAAAATGTTCAACCTCTGCGACCACTGTCACGTTGGCGTCAGTATTCTACCAATCCTCTCTCTTTAGTGCGAGGGAGGTGCTGATGCAGAGTTTGAATCTCCAGGACCAGGTTTCTATCGTAGTTTTTCTAATTTAATTGCACTTTGATCCCAGCCCGAGTTCGATGAAAAGAGCCAGTCTGTATTTTTACACTTAGCCAACTCCTCACCGCATGTATATTTACACGCATGACCGTCCGACTTTGACGTTAGACATCCATACATGTGCATATAGACCAAAGACAAAATTACCTCGTCTCCCCAACGACAGTCAAACTGTCATACAACAATCTCTTCCCAGTCCGAGGTCGGAGTAAGGAAACAGTGTGTATGTTACAAGGATATGGAAGAAGTCTAATGTATTTGGTTTATTGGTATCGTTCTACCTTTTCTGGGCCACTCTGTTACTTTCTGTCCCCTATCTCTGTTCTGGCTGTCTTTTGCCATCCCTAACTATTTCTTTGACACTTTGCCGGTATTTCTAAGTAGCAGTATATTGAATTCATTGTTCACCCAATAAAAGAGATATTCACATTGGAGGGTTACTGAATTAGGTTGTTTTAAGTGCATACATGTAGGAAATAACAGCTTCGTATTATGCAGGTTTGTAGGATAGATATGTGTCGAGCCGAGATTTGCTTGTTGAATGACGTCTCCGAGCTGTAAAATTATGAAGAATTTGGCCTTAAACAGTGGAACACATCTGAACATTTGCCATGGAAATAGTAGCGATAGTTATTGTTTTATTTATTTTTTTAAGCACGTGATGCTTGTTCATATCCATGACAAACGAATCGGTTTTTTTCCCTTAATTCTTCGAGTTTGAATGCTGCAATTATTTAAGGATTTGTTATTGTAGGCAAACAACGCAAAACAAGGTATTAAGAAAGAGGAAAAAAATCGTTAGAAACAAAAAAAAAAAGAGTACTAAAATATTACGTAATATCACTCCTTCTCTATGGCAGTAAATGCTGGATAATTACCTCACACCCAACCAAGAGAACAGGGTTTGACTCTCACTATGGTCGATTTGCAGATGGGTGTACTCGGAAAAGAGTCGCCATCAAGTCAGTCAGTTATGTGCCATGCGTGATACACGTTTAGGCGATCATGTATCTTTCGGTACATGACTGATGAGGCAGATTTTTTTTCCCGCAGTAGGTTGCCATTTCTTTCTGCGGTAGACCAGTTGACATCCAAGGCTATAGCTTCGATGGTAACTGGTCTACCACATGGGAACCCGGTCTGTTCTGTGGGGGGAGAAGAAGAGGATTCATACCTTTCCCAAAGTTATTAGCCCGTAAGTGAATGTAATGGATTCGACTGGAATTCGAACTCGGCTCTCCGATTCCTCAATCCGAGCCGCCGGTAATTATCAGGTAAAAGTTAAAATATTTTGCAAACTAATATTTACATTAAATTAAATATATTAAACAATAACTTGGCATCTCGGCTTCAATAATTTTCCCACCGCCGTAACGTAGCCACTCTCTGCATTTTCTATAAATATTTTCATGGAAACTGTTCTGAGGATCTTTCTTCTTTTATATCTAGACTTTATGAATTTAAGCGTTATACTATATTGGCAGCAAGGTACCACTATTGTGCAGTTGAAATGTTTAGATGTGACCGTAAGTTCTATGCTAACAGTTTCTTCCCTGGCACTTTTCGCTTGTGGAACTCTCTCTCATCTTTTTGTCTCTACGGTTAGCTTTGATCTTCAAAAAGGTAAATTTCAATCGTTATCTTCTGGTTTTTTTTTGTTTTTTTTTTAAATTCCATTCCTTTTATTTTTTCTCTCGCCTTAATAA